GTGTCAAAAATGACATGTGTGTCACATGTCAAAAATGACATGTGTCAAAAATGACATGCGTGTCAAAAACGACATGTGTCACATGTCATAAATGACATGCGTGTCAAAAATGACATATGTGTCAAAAATGACATATGTCAAAAATGACATGTGTGTCACATGTCAAAAATGACATGTGTCAAAAATGACATGCGTGTCAAAAATGACATATGTGTCAAAAATGACATGCGTGTCAAAATGACATATGTGTCACATGTCAAAATGACATATGTGTCCAAAATGACATATGTGTCACATGTCAAAAATGACATATGTGTCAAAATGACATGCGTGTCATATGTCAAAAATGACATGTGTCAAAAATGACTTGTCACATGTCAAAAATGATATACATGTCAAAAATGACATGCGTGTCGGAAATGGTACGTGACAGACACGTGTGTCACATCGAAATGACATGTGTGTTGGAAATGACATGCATGTCACACGTCAAAAATGACGTGTCCAAAATGACTTGCATGTCAAGACGTCAGAAATGACATTTATGTCAAAAAGACATGTGTCCAAATTGACATGCATGTCAAACATGATCTATGTGTCAGAAACTGATATGCCTGTCAAAAATAATATGGATGTCACATACGTGTTAGAAATGGCATGCACATCAGACATACGTGTACAAATTGACATACATGTAAAAATGACATGTGCACAATGACGTGTCCAAAATGATATGCATGTCAAAAATGAGTGTCAGAAATGACACTTCACAGTGCAGAAATTACATACATGCAAAAATGACATGCATGTAAAAATGACACGTGTCAGAAATGACACGTGGCAAAATGACACGTCAGAAATGACATGACAAAAATGTGTCAGAAATTACATGTCAAAAATAACGTGTCCAAAATTACACACGTGTCCAAATCGACACATTTGTCAAATGACACATGTCCAAATTGATTTGTCAGAAGCATGTCGATATTGACACACGTGTCCAAAATGACATGTGTCCAAAACTGAATGCTAAACTTTCAAGGCTCAAACTGTCTTCTAAGGCAAATGAGTTCAAGGTCGAACAAAACAAGTGAGGTCCAGGTCAGGGAAAAAGGCCTTTATTTGTCTACAAAAGGGGGTCAAGTTTATGGACAATTATGAAGAGACTGCATACTTTTTTGCACTTTTTGAAATGCCCTCCTTTGTGAGCTCATCCCCACTTCCACACCCCATGGGCTGCCAGCCCTGCATGGTCTCCACCGAGCTGGTGAATGGGCCCCCTGCCAATAGCAGGCGTGAGAAGAGCCCTTCCCGGCAACTCTCATTCCCGCTGCACACTGAGCGCGGCTGGGCCCAGGGCTCACAAGAGCCCACAAGTTTCCATCAAGTCCTTCTGAAAGCAGCCCCACTCCCCATCTGCTCTCTGAGTATGGTGCCAAGGTGTGTGGAGAGGAAGTGTTTCGGCAGAGCTGGGACCAGCAGTAAGACGAGCAGAGGCTCTTGGACCTTTGTATCCTCTGGAGCTGCCCCAGGCCCATGTAGGCTTTTTTTTTCCCCTTTTGCCATAGGGTGCATGTGCCAACCTGAGACAGGAGAGGGGAGAGAAGAGAGGAGGGAGAGAGAGGGGAGGAGGGAGAGAGAGGGGAGGAGAAAGAGCAGAGTGAGGGAGGGAGGAAGGGAGAGAAAGCACCCCCCAGTGAGGTGTGGTCATATCACAATCTCTCGTCCATTTCCCTATCCTATTGGGATTTGGGGTAGGCACATGTGCCCAACCCCTAGGGCTGGGATTCGAACACCAGAAGGCCACATAGGATCCACTAAGCCAGCCCAGTCCTCTTTCTAGGTGATGACACTGAAGTTCAAAGAGCTGATGAACCTCGGACCCTGGCCACGCTGGGGTCGGCAATAGCAAATCGGTCTGCTCTTAGGCCCTGGCTAGTGGCCCTGCAGTAGCAGAATGCCGTCTGATGTCTGCACTTTCCTCTGCAGCAACTGGACAGCATCCATGTCACTGTCCTACACAAGGAAGAAGGCGCCGGCCTGGGGTTCAGCTTGGCTGGAGGACTGGATCTAGAAAACAAGGTGATTACGGTGAGTCACTCAGCGATGGGGGTCTTAGAGCCAGAGATGACAGCCGGGGGAGTGGTGGGACGCTCGCCAGGAAGGGGTCTTGTGCCTGGACACCAGGACATGCGTGTGGCCAGGCTGCTGGGCAGCAGTTAGGGTGTGATCTTACAGGGACCCATCCTTTCCAAGGATCAGTGTGGTCCCCCTAGGCATCATCCACAGTCAACCCTTAGCCCCGTCCTCAACTTCTGGAGAAAACCTCTATAAACCCAGATGAAACCTGTATCATTCCTTGGCCCCTTTATAAGGTCTCCACGGCAGAAAAGGCACACCGAGCCAGGAAGGACCCATTTCTGTCGCTAAGCACAGATGAGCGTGACGAAAAGGTTTAACGGGGGAGAGTTGCTGGCCTGTGGGAGGGCCCTTCGCATCCTTCTTCAGCCCTTCTGCCCCTGAGTAGTGAATTCGCTCCTCCCCGTTTGGCCGGTCAGTCACCCCTTAGATGCTGCTGTCACTCGGATACCAGGAGGAAGTGCACCAGAACTTCCAGGGTCTGAGCACCTCGCCTCCCTCCCAGACTCATCAGGAGGGACCCAGCTGAGCGCAGCACCCACCAGGCCCAAAAGCACTCCCGGCCCTGCTGTCTGGAGTACTAAGACCCACGGGTCCCCTGAGAGGCACTCTAAGGCCCTGGGTTGGGAAGGATTCAGAGGCTACACTGCTCACGGCTGCTGGTGACTTCTGCTCTGGGTAGAGGCGGCAATGCGGTCCCTGTGCCAGCAGCTTCGATCTAGGCCATAACTCCTTGCAATTTTCTTTAGCCTAGAAATCCTCTAGGGTTGACTAATTCCTCCAGCAAGAATGTGGATTCGATGGTTTTTGCTTTGCTCAGGTTCACAGGGTGTTTCCCAACGGGCTGGCCTCCCAGGAAGGCACCATTCAAAAGGGCAATGAGGTTCTTTCCATCAACGGCAAGTCCCTCAAAGGGACCACGCACAACGACGCCCTGGCCATCCTCCGCCAACCGGGGGAGCCGAGGCAGGCCGTGATCGTCACGAGGAGGCCGACCCTGGAGGCCACGTCGGACCTGGACTCCTCCGCTGACTCCCCAGCCTCAGCAGCAGCAGCTAGCGAGCGTTCTGCAGACTCGGGTAAGCTCTCCCAGCCCAGCAGAAGGCTCCTGCCCACACCGCCCGGGACCACGTAGGGCCAGCCCTGGGGGTGCAGCTCCGGGGGGCGCCCAAGTGCTGCAGGAGCCTGCTCGCTCGGCGCCTGGGAGGGGAGAGGTTCCCTGACGCAGTCCCCGTGTCCCTCAGCAGCAGCAGAGACCACAGTCTGCACGGTGACCCTGGAGAAGACATCGGCGGGGCTGGGCTTCAGCCTGGAAGGCGGGAAGGGCTCCCTGCACGGAGACAAACCTCTCACCATCAACAGGATCTTCAAAGGTGTGGTGTCTGGCTCTTCGGGTTTGCTCTAGTCGTGGGCATGGGCTGGGTCCCCCAGAGCCTCTAGGTGCTTCTTGGACCCCAGTGGCTTCCTGCAAGCCCCCGTTCTCTTGAGAGGCATGCAAGCCTCCCAAGGGCTCAGCTCTGCTCAGCCATTTCTCCTGTTTAGATTTCACGTTCTCCTGTGCCGTGTCTCACTCATGCTCCCGAGCAACTGAGCTCCAGCCCTGCTTCAGCTCAGTAGGGCCAGGACTAGGGTGAGGCACGTGAGCATGGTCCTGGGGTGGACAATTTAACGGGGCCTTAAAAAAGGCCATAATGCAGATCAGTATTATTTCAGCACCCTCTTTTTTAGGTGAGAGTTTTGCTATAGGGCGTGTGCACTCACCAGAGACAGAGAGACAGTGAGAGAGAAAGTGAGAAATCACCCCCGAGCAGGGATGGCCACACCGCAACCCCTTCTCCTTCATTCTCCTCTGAGGATTTTGGGCACATACACGTGCCCAGTTTGAGTTTCAACCCGCCGGGTCTGGGACTGGAACTGCGGCTGGCCATGTGGGAGTCCAGTGTCTTTTCCACTGAGCCACTCACGGCACTATTTGAAGAACTCAAAATCAATTTAAAAACTCCATGCTGAACAAAACAGCCAGGTTGCAGTAAGATGGCGTCAGACTTGGCACTCAGGTGCCGGCCTCATTTGCTGCTGTCTCCGGCTCCCGGGCCCGTCGGCTCCTGCCTTTACCGACAGTTTTGATGTTCAGAGGTTGGGGTTCACGCCAAGATGACGTAGGGGGTCAGCTGGATTTGGGTGTTTTCAGTGAAAGGCATGAGTGCTGTAGCTGGCATGTGCCCCAGCCCCGACTGCTCATGCTGGACGCCTTGGAGCTCGCACAGAGGGGAGCACGGGGCGGAGTCGGGCAGCTCAGGTCTAGACCCAGCTCTGCCTCTCGCTGGCCAGGCCACCACCCGCTCCCAGGCTGAGGCTCCTGGTCCATATACAGAGGTCACAAGGGACCGGTGGGACTCTGAAGGCTGTTGGTGCCAAGACCCAAAGGCCCCCATGAGCTCCCACCTGCTCTTGCTAGAGGACACTCTGCTGTAGCTGACAAGATCCTGAGGGGAGACCGAGGCTTACACGGCGGCTGCCCCCAAATGCAAGTGAACCCCAATTCTGGGAGAGGCAGTTAAAAATTATTTAAATTGTTATTATTAATTTCCATCGGGCACGTGTACTCACCAGAGAGAGGAAAAAAAAAAAAAGAGACAAAGCAAAGCTGACAGGTCCGGGACTCGAACTATAGGTCACACGCACTCACCAGAGACAGAGAGTGAGTCACCAGGTCTAAGACTCAAACTAGAGAGGACATGCACTCACCAGAGAGAGAGAGAGAGAGAGAGAGAGAGAGAGAGAGAAACAAAAAACAAAAAAACAAGGCCACCAGGTCCGGGACTCAAACCATGATCAGCCATGTGGGAGTCTAGCACCTTAACCACATGCCACCTGCTGTCGCCCGGGAGAGGCATTTTAACATGAACGAGCGTGGGATCCGACAAGCAGTGTCCGACTCTGGACGCTGCAGTTAGTTCTGCCGCCCACGGCAGTGTGTCCCTGGGCAGGTCGCTGCGCCCTCCTGGGTGAGCTACCAGCTGCGGGGTGAGGCGGCAGCGTGGGTGTGGATTCTGGAGCCGGAAAGCCGGGCTCACACCCAGGCTCTGCCGCTTAGCAGCTCTGGGCACGTGGCCCACAGAAAGGCGAACGGCGGACCCCTCCTTGGCCATAAATGCAAAAGCTCCACACGGCCCTCAAGGTATTTCTCCCGTTTTCATTCTCTCCTCTTCATAGTCGGCGTTTCGGAAAATCATGACGTCAAATGGGTATTTTCTTCCACTATAAAGTAAAGGAATTCTGTTCCTGCTTAGAGCTTTGAAAAAGTGGGGACCATAAATAATTCCATCTTTTGCTGACGAGCACAGAGGTCTTCTCCCGGCCATTCGGAGCCAAAGTCCCTGTCAAGATCAGTTCGTGAAAATCTCAGCAGCGGGGCCAGCGGGTGGCCTAACGGTTATGTCGCTGGACTCCCATGGAGTCTACTGTGGTTGGAATCCTGGACCCGGTGGCTTAAAACTCACACCAGGCGTGTGTGCGGGCATGCCCAAGATCCCGAGAGGAGAATGGAGAAGGGACTGCAGTGTGGCCATTCCCCCAGGGGGATGATTTCTCACTTTCTGTCTCTCTGTCTCTGTCTCTCTGGAGAGCACACACGCCCTATAGCAAGAATCTCTCTGAAAAAGAAAATCTCAGCAGCTGATGATCCTGGCAGAGGGAAAACCAATGCGAGGGGGGTGGGATATCGGGTTTGTCTCCAAGGGGAGGCTCTGAGGAGGCTTCATTTTTCTAGAATCTTCTATCATATCGTCAGGAAAGCCACAGAAAAATGCATCATGACTTTTCCCGATGACCCCATACGACGGTGGAGATCCCCTTAACCAGGCTCTGGCGTGGAGTTGCCAGAATGTCCCATCCCCGGAGCCGGCATGGCCGACACCTTTCCAGGGGCCACAGCTGGAGCCTGATGCACCAACTTCCGAGCTGCCATTTTTCTGAGATGCCTCAGTTTAGAACCACCACCGAGCTCCCTTCCCTTCTACGCCGTCCCGGTTCCCGGGAGGACACGGACAGGCGGCAGCTCCCCCTGTTCCCCACTCACCCGTAGCACCCCCATATCAGGAGCGCTTCCCTCTCATTTCAGGAGCTGCCTCGGAGCAGAGGGAGACCGTGCAGCCGGGAGACGAAATCTTGCAGTTGGCAGGCAACGCCGTGCAGGGCCTTACGCGGTTTGAGGCCTGGAACATCATCAAGGCTCTGCCTGACGGACCCGTGACGGTGACCATCCGGAGGAAAAGCCCCCAGTCCCCGGGGACCGCCGCTGCTGGAGACCCCGGGGCAGCGCTCCCATGCTGAAGCCAGAGCCACCACCTGCCATCCCCGTTACGGTCGATTCTCAGGGTCTCTGCTGCCCACCCCACCCGGAGGAAGCAGCGCAGGGCGGTTTCCTGCTGGCTGCCGCCCAGGCCTGGACCTTCTGGGACGTCACGCAGCAAGAGGGCTGTCCCAGCAGAGTGACACTGGGGTGGCTGGTACCAAGTGCTGACTGTCCAGAGAGAACTTAATGCTGATGACGGTGCGTACATAAAACGGATAGATTACAATCCGACACGAACTGCATGTCTCGCTTTGTAAGACGTTCTGGGACCCGAACCGTCTAACGATCCTCCCCACATCAGCCGCCTTGGCTGGCCTCGGAATCGCTAACGTGGGCGGGGCTCGCAGGGTGGCTCGTGTCTGCGCCTCCTGGCGTCGGCTGCGGCCCTGAAAGGCTCAGGGTGGAGCCCCAGGCAGTCTCTCGTCTGCACCACTGCCGTGGGCGTTGGCTGCTACTCACCCGGGGCTTCGGGCCTGCTGCCTCACAGATGCCTCTCCCGGGGGCCTGGGCTTCCTCCCGACTTGGTGCCTGGGTCCCCACTGCTGCCGGCAATCTCAGTGTGGCCGCTGCGTCTCATGGTCCCTGAAATGCGAGGCAGAGGCTGGAGAAGGGAGCGTGTAACCGGTTACAGGGAGACAGTCAGACGCCACTAATCTGTCTTGAAAAGCTCAACATGTCCCCGTCTTGTTATCTTGTATCCCTTGTACGTCGGGTTACAAGACAAGCACGTGCAAATCACCCCACACCTCAAAGTCAACCCCTTCCCTCTGAGTAATAACCCCAACTCCTGGTTTACTTTCAACACCCACTCTTGGTTTCTCACCTGACCATTCCTTAAAGAGCCCTCCCCACGACTCAGTATTTGGTCTGACAAGTCTTGTTAGAGGCCCTTCCTAATTTCAAAATGGCCGCAGTCCTGCTTCAATCCCCACTGTCAACTATACCCACGGTTTCTACTGGGGTTGCCTCCTCTTGTGAAAAGGCTGAACGGCCTCTCTCCAATCACTTCTAGCCTTTCGGAATGATCAGGTCGTGCGCACGGTCCAAGAATCCTTTAAACACCACCTAAGCAGTAACATCGCCAACCCGGTCACTGACAGTTTTCCTATTCCTGATATTTCTTAATCCATTCCAGAGCCAGGAAGGTATGTTCGAAAGCCAATCAGCTGTCTCCGTTAGCCGTGGGGTGTGCTGACCTGCAGAGGTCACAGGCCAGGCTGCCTGCTGCGTCTCAGCACTGGTCTCTACGTTCATGTAAGGACAGGAAGTACTGCAGGAAGTGGTCACTGTCATACAAACGCCGCCTTGCCACCTACACGCTAGTCCTGCTTTCGCTAGAGAATCTAAAGACAGCGACAAATGAGGGCTCATCGGGAAAGTCATGGTGCATTTTTGCACAGAAAAACGTGGACACAGGCGCCATGACTTTCTGGATGACCTCATACTTACATATTTGGCCCTTTCATCAGCCTAAATTAGTAGTCTTAGATAAATTTGGTAACGCCTGTTGGTGGGCTGCAGTTCCCCACCGAGGTCACAGCATAACCAAAGAGACACTCATCCCCGCTCCGAGTTCTGGTGGAAGTTTCACAGCTCAGATCTGGTTCTCAGCCTCACCACAGCTACAGAAGGAGAAATCTTAACCGAAGCATCACCTTCCCGAGCCAGCCCAGGGTCACAGAGCAGAGCGACGGCCGGGAGGCTCAGCTTCCCAGGCGCCTCGGTGTTCCCCATTCTGGTGAGATGACCCACTGTCGACTCTACCCATGACTCTTTTTTTAAAGAGATTTTTGCGCCCTTTTGGCCCTCTGAGTAGCGCCATGGTGGGTGGCAAGAATAGGCGCCTTACAAAAGGTGGCCAAAAGGGAGCCAAGAAGAAAGTGGTTGATCCATTTTCTAAAAAAGATTGGTAGGACATGGAAGCACCTGCCATGTTCAGCAGACGAAATACTGGGGAGACACTAGTCACCGGGACTCAGGGAACCAAAAACTGTGTCAGACCGCCTGAAGGGCCGTGTGTGTGAAGCGAGCCTTGCAGACCTACAGAATGACGAAGTCGCATTTAGGAAATCCAAGCTAATTACTGAGGACGTTCGGGGCAGAATCTGCCTGACTCACTTCCATGGCACAGATCTCACCCGTGACAAAATGTGTTCCGTGATCAAAACATGGCAGACCGTGATCGAAGCTCAGGTTGAGGTCAAGACTACTGATGGTTACTTGCTTCGTCTCTTCTGTGCTGGGTTTACTAAAAACGCAACAATCGGATACGGAAGCCCTCTTCTGCCCAGCACCAGCAGGTCCGCCAAATCCGGAAGAAGATGGAAATCATGACCCGGGAGGAGCGGACAAATGACTTGAAAGGAGTGGCCGATAAACTGATTCCAGACAGCACTGGAGAAGGCGTAGAAAGGCCTGCCAGTCCATCCACCCTCTCCATGTCTTTGTCAGAAAAGTCAAAATGCTGAAGAAGCCCAAGTTTGAAGTGGGAAAACTCGCGGAACTCGATGGGGAAGGCAGAAGCTCTGGAAAAGCTGGGGATGAGACGGGCGCTGAGGTTGAGCGAGCTGATGGGTGTGAACCACCAGTCCAAGACTCTGTTTACAGTTCAGACTTTAAACGGTGACAAGTAAAAAGTCCTATTGGTGACCCAAAGAGAGAGAGAGAGAGAGATTTTTGCAATGGGGCGTGTGTACTTGCTAGAAAGACAAGAGAGACAGAAATTGAGAAATCACCCCCCAGGGGGGTGGTCATGCCACAATTTCTGCCGTTTTCCTCTTGGGATTTTGGGCATGCACACACACGTGCCCAGTGTGAGTTTAAAGCTGCCAGGATTCGAACCACGGTTGGCCCTGGGAGCCCGGTGATGGAACCTGGTCCCCACACCTTCTTAACATTCAGCAACTCCCGGGAAACAGAGGCCGAGACTGCACCAGGGTACAGCTCAGATGAGCATGACTTCCACAGCGAGCCCACCAAGGCTTCTCCCTGGCAGAGTTCTCTGAACGACAGCTCTGTCATCGGGCACGGTGGCATGAGAAGGCACCGCCTCCCAGCCTTCTGCGCTAGGTTTAATTGGGGTTGATGCGACGACTGTTCTGATTCTGAGAACTTTTGCACCCCTTTCTTGACCAGGATCTCTGTAAGCATCAGTGATCGCGTTTCCTCTGGTCACACTTCCGTGTCCCTCAGTGGCAGGGTGGACCTGTCCGGCTAGCAGTCTGTAACAGTTGCCCACACAGGAAACAAGTGACCAGAGAGGAAACCTGAGCTGTCACACACTTGGTTTATGCATCTACAGTGTCAATTTCAACACACTTTCTTGACGTTTTTCCCATGGAGAACAAAAGTCTTGTTAACTGGCCTGGCCCAATATTGTTTGTCTCTACATTTAACAAGTCAAAAGTAAAAACTTTACACTTCATGTTAATCAAGGTGCTTTACGTAAAGATGTCGGGCCGGCCAGGTGGCGTGGTGGTTCAGGTGGCTGGATCCCACGTGACCAACTGTGCAGTTCAAGTCCAGGACCCGGAGGTTTGAAAATCACACTGTGTGTGTGTGTGTGTGTGTGTGTGTGTGCGCGCGCGCACGCCCCAAATCCTAGGTGGCGAAAGAGAAGGGACTGCAGTGTGGCCATCCTCCCCAGGGATGGTTCCTCATTTTCCCTCTCTCCGTCTCTCACTGGCAAGCACACATGCCCTCCAGCACATTAAAAATAAAATGACGTAAACAGTTTATGAATATTCATTAATTTAACGTAACTTCAAGATCTCACAGTACCTGGAAAGGTGTTGGGGTGTTGTCTCTAAACTTGGGTCATTCCTTCTGCCAGTGGCCCATGTCCTTACCAGCACAGCACGCTGCTCCTTCAGCATCAGTGTCCCTTGCCTCCTCTGGGGGAAGACCCCACTGCAGGAGCAAACCAAACACCGGCTCGTTCTAACCTGTCACCTCTTTCGGCTCCCTGTGACTCTACAGCTTCTAGGGAAGGTCATTCCTTTTTATTAGGTTCTGGTACCAAAAGGAAGAAAAGTCACCTTTTACAAGGCAGTATTTTCCTGAAGTATCGTACAGGGAGGAGGGTGAGCTGTCTGGAGGCAAACAGAATTCTAGGAAATTGCAGAAGTCAGCACCGTGCTCAAAACTGTAAATGTGACAGGTTTAAAAAAATAGCACGGGGGAGACCAGCAGTTGGCTTAATGGCTATGTCGCTGGACTCCCCTGTAGTTGGCCCCAGTTCGAGTCCCGGACCCAGTGTCTTAAACTCACACTGGGCATGTGTGCGTGCATGCCCGAGATCCCGAGAGAATGGAGGAGAAGGGATTGCAGCATGGCCCTTCCCCCAGGGGGCGGTGATTTCTCGCTTTCTGTCTCTCTGTCTTTCTGGTGAGTACATGTGCCCTATAGCAAAAACCCCTCAAAAAAAAAAAAAGAAAAAGAAAAGATAAGAAAAACGAAAAAAAAAAAACAGCTAAAAAAGAGCAGAGGAAGTGAATGTGTCAGTGTGGACAGCCTTGGAAAGCGTGAACACGGTGAGGTGGCAGCCCAGTAAGCCCTGGGTGACTTCTATGCTCACTCAGGCTACGAAGCCATGTCATTCCGCGTACCCTCCCACTCTGCAATTTCTGATGTCTGAGACACTTTGATAGTCACACTGACCATTCTCGTACTTTCTGGAATGGGGGGGGGGGGGGAGCGCGCTGT